AGAACAAGGGCCTAGCGAGTGCAAAATAGCAAGAGCAAGGGCCTAGCGTGTGCGAAAAATCAAGAACAAGGGCCTAGCGTTCGCGAAATAGCAAGAACAAGGACCTAGTGTGTTCAAAATAAAAAGAACAAGGGTCTAGCATGTGCAAAATTGCAAGAACAAGGGCCTAGCGTGTGCAAAATAAAAAGAACAAGGGCATAGCGTGTGCAAAATAGCAAGAACAAGGGCCTAGCGTGTGCAAAATAAAAAGAACAAGGGCATAGCGTGTGCAAAATAGCAAGAACAAGGGCCTAGCATGTGCAAAATAAAAAGAACAAGGGCCTAGCGTGTGCAAAATAAAAAGAACAAGGGCCTAGCGTGTGCAAAATTGCAAGAACAAGGGCCTAGCGTGTGCACAATTGCAAGAACAAGGGCCTAGCGAGTGCAAAATAGCAAGAGCAAGGGCCTAGCGTGTGCAACAAATCAAGAACAAGGGCCTAGCATTCGCGAAATAGCAAGAGCAAGGGCCTAGCGTGTGCAAAATAAAAAGAACAAGGGTCTAGCATGTGCAAAAATGCAAGAACAAGGGCTTAGCGTGTGCAAAATAAAAAGAACATGGGCCTAGCGTTTGCAAAATAGCAAGAACAAGGGCCTAGCGTGTGCAAAATAAAAAGAACAAGGGCCTAGCGTGTGCAAAATAAAAAGAACAAGGGCCTAGCGTGTGCAAAATTGCAAGAACAAGGGCCTAGCGTGTGCAAAATTGCAAGAACAAGGGCCTAGCGAGTGCAAAATAGCAAGAGCAAGGGCCTAGCGTGTGCGAAAAATCAAGAACAAGGGCCTAGCGTTCGCGAAATAGCAAGAACAAGGACCTAGCGTGTGCAAAATAAAAAGAACAAGGGTCTAGCATGTGCAAAATTGCAAGAACAAGGGCCTAGCGTGTGCAAAATAAAAAGAACAAGGGCATAGCGTGTGCAAAATAGCAAGAACAAGGGCCTAGCGTGTGCAAAATAAAAAAAACAAGGGCCTAGCGTGTGCAAAATAAAAAGAACAAGGGCCTAAGGTGTGCAAAATTGCAAGAACAAGGGCCTAGCGTGTGCAAAATAGCAAGAGCAAGGGCCTAGCGTGTGCAAAAAATCAAGAACAAGGGCCTAACGTGTGCAAAATAAAAAGAACAAGGGCCTAGCGTGTGAAAAATAAAAAGAACAAGGGCCTAGCATGTGCAAAATAAAAAGAACAAGAGCCTAGCGTGTGCAAAATTGCAAGAACAAAGGCCTAGCGAGTGCAAAATAGCAAGAGGAAGGGCCTAGCGTGTGCAAAAAATCAAGAACAAGGGCCTAGAGTTTGCGAAATAGCAAGAACAAGGGCCTAGCGTGTGCAAAATATAACGAACAACGGTCTAGCATGGGCAAAATTGCAAGAACAAGGGCCTAGCGTGTGCAAAACAAAAAAAGAACGAGGGCATAGCGTTTGCAAAATAGCAAGAACAAGGGCCTAGCGTGTGCAAAATAAAAAAAACAAGGGCCTAGCGTGTGCAAAATAAAAAGAACAAGGGCCTACCGTTGCAAAATTGCAAGAACAAGGGCCTAGCGAGTGCAAAATAGCAAGAGCAAGGGCCTAGCGTGTGTGAAAAATCAAGAACAAGGGCCTAGCGTTCGCGAAATAGCAAGAACAAGGGCCTAGCGTGTGCAAAATAAAAAGAACAAGGGCCTAGCGTGTGCAAAATTGCAAGAACAAGGGCCTAGCGTTTGCAAATTGCAAGAACAAGGGCCTAGCGAGTGCGAAATAGCAAGAGGAAGGGCCTAGCGTGAGCAAAATATCAAGAACAAGGGCCTAGCGTTCGTGAAATAGCAAGAACAAGGGCCTAGCGTTTGCAAAATAAAAAGAACAAGGGTCTAGCATGTGCAAAATTGCAAGAACAAGGGCCAAGCGTGTGCAAAATAAAAAGAACAAGGGTCTAGCATGTGCAAAATTGCAAGAACAAGGGCCTAGCGTGTGCAAAAAAAAAAAGAACAAGGGTCTAGCATGTGCAAAATTGCAAGAACAAGGGCCTAGCGTGTGCAAAAAAAAAAAGAACGAGGGCATAGCGTTTGCAAAATAGCAAGAACAAGGGCCTAGCGTGTGCAAAATAAAAAGAACAAGGGCCTAGCGTGTGCAAAATAAAAAGAACAAGGGCCTAGCGTGTGCAAAATAAAAAGAACAAGGGCCTAGCGTGTGCAAAATTGCAAGGACAAGGGCCTAGCGAGTGCAAAATAGCAAGAGCAAGGGCCTAGCGTGTGCGAAAAATCAAGAACAAGGGCCTAGCGTTTGCGAAATAGCAAGAACAAGGGCCTAGCGTGTGCAAAATAAAAAGAACAAGGGCATAGCGTGTGCAAAATAGCAAGAACAAGGGCCTAGCGGTTGCAAAATAAAAAGTACAAGGGCCTAGCGTGTGCAAAATAAAAGAACAAGGGCCTAGCGTGTGCAAAATAAAAAAAACAAGGGCATAGCGTGTGCAAAATAGCAAGAACAAGGGCCTAGCGTGTGCAAAATAAAAAGAATAAGGGCCTAGCGTTGCAAAATTGCAAGAACAAGGGCCTAGCGTGTGCAAAATGAAAAGAACAAGGGCATAGCATGTGCAAAATAGCAAGAACAAGGGCCTAGCGTGTGCAAAATAAAAAGAACAAGGGCCTAGCGTGTGCAAAATAAAAAGAACAAGGGCCTAGCGTGTGCAAAATTGCAAGAACAAGGGCCTAGCGTGTGCAAAATTGCAAGAACAAGGGCCTAGCGAGTGCAAAATAGCAAGAGGAAGGGCCTAGCGTGAGCAAAAAATCAAGAACAAGGGCCTAGCGTTCGTGAAATAGCAAGAACAAGGGCCTAGCGTGTGCAAAATATAACGAACAAGGGTCTAGCATGTGCAAAATTGCAAGAACAAGGGCCTAGCGTGTGCAAAACAAAAAAGAACAAGGGCATAGCGTTTGCAAAATAGCAAGAAAAGGGCCTAGAGTGTGCAAAATAAAAAGAACAAGGGCCTAGCGTATGCAAAATTGCAAGAACAAGGGCCTGGCGTGTGCAAAATTGCAAGAACAAGGGCTTAGCTAGTGCAAAATAGCAAGAGCAAGGGCCTAGCGTGTGCAAAAAGTTCAGAACAAGGGTCTAGCGTTTGCGAAATGGCAAGAACAAAAGCCTAACGTGTGAAAAATAAAAAGAACAAGGGTCTAGCATGTGCAAAATTGCAAGAACAAGGGCCTAGCGTGTGCAAAATAAAAAGAACAAGGGCATAGCGTGTGCAAAATAGCAAGAACAAGGGCCTAGCGTGTGCAAAATAAAAAGAACAAGGGCCTAGCGTGTGCAAAATTGCAAGAACAAGGGCCTAGCGTGTGCAAAATTGCAAGAACAAGGGCCTAGCGTGTGCAAAATTGCAAGAACAAGGGCATAGCGAGTGCAAAATAGCAAGAGCAAGGGCCTAGCTTTCGCGAAATAGCCAGAACAAGGGCCTAGTGTTTGCAAAATAGCAAGAACAAGGGCCTAGCGAGTGCAAAATAAAAAGAACAAGGGCCTAGCGTGTGCAAAATAAAAAGAACAAGAGCCTAGCGTGTGCAAAATTGCAAGAACAAGGGCCTAGCGTGTGCAAAATTGCAAGAACAAGGGCCTAGCGAGTGCAAAATAGCAAGAGCAAGGGCCTAGCGTGTGCGAAAAATCAAGAACAAGGGCCTAGCGTTCGCAAAATAGCAAGAACAAGGGCCTAACGTGTGCAAAATAAAAAGAACAAGGGTCTAGCATGTGCAAAATTGCAAGAACAAGGGCCTAGCACGTGCAAAATAAAACGAACTAGGGCATAGCGTTTGCAAAATAGCAAGAACAAGGGCCTAGCACGTGCAAAATAAAACGAACTAGGGCATAGCGTTTGCAAAATAGCAAGAACAAGGGCCTAGCACGTGCAAAATAAAAAGAACAAGGGCCTAGCATGTGCAAAATAAAAAGAACAAGGGCCTAGCGTGTGCAAAATTGCAAGAACAAGGGCCTAGCGTATGCAAAATTGCAAGAACAAGGGCCTAGCGAGTGCAAAATAGCAAGAGCAAGGGCCTAGCGTGTGCAAAAAATCAAGAACAAGGGCCTAGCGTTCGCGAAATAGCAAGAGCAAGGGCCTAGCGTGTGCTAAATAAAAAGAACAAGGGTCTAGCATGTCCAAAATTGCAAGAACAAGGGCCTAGCATGTGCAAAATAAAAAGAACAAGGGCCTAGCGGGTGCAAAATAAAAAGAACAAGGGCCTAGCGTGTGCAAAATTGCAAGAACAAGGGCCTAGCGTGTGCAAAATTGCAAAAACAAGGGCCTAGCGAGTGCAAAATAGCAAGAGGAAGGGCCTAGCGTGAGCAAAAAATCAAGAACAAGGGCCTAGCGTTCGTGAAATAGCAAGAACAAGGGCCTAGCATGTGCAAAATTGCAAGAACAAGGGCCTAGCGTGTGCAAAATAAAAAGAACAAGGGCCTAGCGTGTGCAAAATAGCAAGAACAAGGGCCTAGCGTGTGCAAAATAAAAAGAACAAGGGCCTAGCGTGTGCAAAATAAAAAAAACAAGGGCCTAGTGTGTGCAAAATTGCAAGAACAAGGGCCTAGCGTGTGCAAAATTGCAAGAACAAGGGCATAGCGAGTGCAAAATAAAACGAACAAGGGCCTAGCGTGTGCAAAATTGCAAGAACAAGGGCCTAGCGTGTGCAAAATTGCAAGAACAAGGGCCTAGCGTGTTCATCCCCTTCTCCTAGATTCCATCCCCTTCTCCCAGATTCCATCCCCTTCTCCCATATTCCATCCCCTTCTCCCAGATTCCATCCCCTTCTCCCAGATTCCATCCCCTTCTCCCAGATTCCATCCCCTTCTCCCAGATTCCATCCCCTTCTCCCTGATTCCATCCCCTTCTCCCAGATTCCATCCCCTTCTCCAAGATTCCATCCCCTTCTTCCAGATTCCATCTCCTTCTCCCAGATTCCACCCCCTTCTCCCAGATTCCACCCCCTTCTCCCAGATTCCATCCCCTTCTCCCTGATTCAATCCCCTTCTCCCAGATTCCATCCCCTTCTCCCAGATTCCATCCCCTTCTCCCAGATTCCATCCCCTTCTCCCAGATTCCATCCCCTTCTCCCTGATTCCATCCCCTTCTCCCAGATTCCATCCCCTTCTCCCAGATTCCATCCCCTTCTCCCAGATTCCATCCCCTTCTCCCAGATTCCACCCCCTTCTCCCAGATTCCATTCCCTTCTTCCACATTCCATCCCCTTCTCCCAGATTCCATCCCCTTCTCCCAGATTCCATCCCCTTCTCCCAGATTCCATCCCCTTCTCCCAGATTCCACCCCCTTCTCCCAGATTCCACCCCCTTCTCCCAGATTCCATCCCCTTCTCCCTGAATCCATCCCCTTCTCCCAGATTCCATCCCCTTCTCCCAGATTCCATCCCCTTCTCCCATATTCCATCCCCTTCTCCCAGATTCCATCCCCTTCTCCCAGATTTCATCCCCTTCTCCCAGATTCCACCCCCTTCTCCCAGATTCCATCCCCTTTCCCAGATTCCATCCCCTTCTCCCAGATTCCATCCCCTTCTCCCAGATTCCATCCCCTTCTCCCTGATTCCATCCCCTTCTCCCAGATTCCATCCCCTTCTCCCAGATTCCATCCCCTTCTCCCAGATTCCATCCCCTTCTCCCAGATTCCACCCCCTTCTCCCAGATTCCATCCCCTTCTCCCAGATTCCATCCCCTTCTCCCATATTCCATCCCCTTCTCCCATATTCCATCTTTTTCTCCCAGATTCCATCCCCTTCTCCCAGATTCCATCCCCTTCTCCCAGATTCCATCCCCTTCTCCCAGATTCTATCCCCTTCTCCCAGATTCCATCCCCTTCTACCAGATTCCACCCCCTTCTCCCAGATTCCATCCCCTTCTCCCTGATTCCATCCCCTTCTCCCTGATTCCATCCCCTTCTCCCAGATTCCATCCCCTTCTCCCAGATTCCATCCCCTTCTCCCACATTCCATCCCCTTCTCCCAGATTTCATCACCTTCTCCCAGATTCCACCCCCTTCTCCCAGACTCCATCCCCTTCTCCCAGATTCCATCCCCTTCTCCCAGATTCCATCCCCTTCTCCCATATTCCATCCCCTTCTCCCATATTCCATCCCTTTCTCCCAGATTCCATCCCCTTCTCCCAGATTCCATCCCCTTCTCCCAGATTCCATTCCCTTCTACCAGATTCCACCCCCTTCTCCCTGATTCCATCCCCTTCTCCTAATTTCCATCCCCTTCTCCCAGATTCCATCCCCTTCTCCCAGATTCCATCCCCTTCTCCCAGATTCCATCCCCTTCTCCCAGATTCCATCCCCTTCTCCCAGATTCCATCCCCTTCTCCCAGATTCTATCCCCTTCTCCCAGATTCCATCCCCTTCTCCCAGATTCCATCCCCTTCTCCCTGATTCCATCCCCTTCTCCCAGATTCCATCCCCTTCTCCCAGATTTCATCCCCTTCTCCCAGATTCCATCCCCTTCTCCCAGATTTCATCACCTTCTCCCAGATTCCACCCCCTTCTCCCAGACTCCATCCCCTTCTCCCAGATTCCATCCCCTTCTCCGAGATTCCATCCCCTTCTCCCAGATTTCATCCCCTTCTCCCAGATTCCACCCCCTTCTCCCAGATTCCATCCTCTTTTCCCTGATTCCATCCCCTTCTCCCAGATTCCATCCCCTTCTCCCTGATTCCATCCCCTTCTCCGTCATTCCATCCCCTTCTCCCAGATTCCATCCCCTTCTCCCAGATTCCATCCCCTTCTCCCAGATTCCATCCCCTTCTCCCAGATTCCATCCCCTTCTCCCAGATTCCACCCCCTTCTCCCAGATTCCATCCCCTTCTCCCAGATTCCATCCCCTTCTCCCAGATTCCATCCCCTTCTCCCAGATTCCATCCCCTTCTCCCAGATTCCATCCCCTTCTCCCAAATTCCATCCCCTTCTCCCCGATTCCATCCCCTTCTCCCAGATTCCATCCCCTTCTCCCAGATTCATTCCCCTTCTCCCAGATTCCACCCCCTTCTCCCAGATTCCATCCCCTTCTCCCAGATTCCATCCCCTGCTCCCAGATTCCATCCCCTTCTCCCAGATTCCATCCCCTTCTCCCAAATTCCATCCCATTCTCCCATATTTCATCCCCTTCTCCCAAATTCTATACCCTTCTCCCAGATTCCATCCCCTTCTCCCAGAATCCATCCCCTTCTCCCAGATTCCATCCCCTTCTTCCAGATTCCATCCCATTCTCCCAGATTCCATCCCCTTCTCCCCGGTTCCATCCCCTTCTCCCAGATTCTATCCCCTTCTCCCAGATTCCATCCCCTTCTCCCAGATTCTATCCCCTTCTCCCAGATTCCACCCCCTTCTCCCTGATTCCATCCCCTTCTCCCTGATTCCATCCCCTTCTCCCTGATTCCATCCCCTTCTCCCAGATTCCATCCCCTTCTTCCAGATTCCATCCCATTCTCCCAGATTCCATCCCCTTCTCCCCGGTTCCATCCCCTTCTCCCAGATTCCATCCCCTTCTCCCAGATTCCATCCCCTTCTCCCAGATTCCATCCCCTTCTCCCAGATTCCACCCCCTTCTCCCAGATTCCACCCCCTTCTCCCTGATTCCATCCCCTTCTCCCTGATTCCATCCCCTTCTCCTAGATTCCATCCCCTTCTCCCAGATTCCATCCCGTTCTCCCAGATTCCATCCCCTTCTCCCAGATTCCATCCCCTTCTCCTAGATTCCATCCCCTTCTCCCAGATTCCATCCCCTGCTCCCAGATTCCATCCCCTTCTCCCAGATTCCATCCCCTTCTCCCAAATTCCATCCCATTCTCCCATATTTCATCCCCTTCTCCCAAATTCTATACCCTTCTCCCAGATTCCATCCCCTTCTCCCAGAATCCATCCCCTTCTCCCAGATTCCATCCCCTTCTTCCAGATTCCATCCCATTCTCCCAGATTCCATCCCCTTCTCCCCGGTTCCATCCCCTTCTCCCAGATTCTATCCCCTTCTCCCAGATTCCATCCCCTTCTCCCAGATTCTATCCCCTTCTCCCAGATTCCATCCTCTTCTCCCAGATTCCATCCCCTTCTCCCAGATTCCATCCCCTTCTCCCAAATTCCATCCCCTTCTCCCAGATTCCATCCCCTTCTCCCAGATTCCATCCCCTTCTCCCAGATTCCATCCCCTTCTTCCAGATTCCACCCCCTTCTCCCAGATTCCACCCCCTTCTCCCTGATTCCATCCCCTTCTCCCAGATTCCATCCCCTTCTCCCAGGTTCCACCCCCTTCTCCCAGATTCCACCCCCTTCTCCCAGATTCCATCCCCTTCTCCCTGATTCCATCCCCTTCTCCTAGATTCCATCCCCTTCTCCCATATTCCATCCCCTTCTTCCATATTCCATCCCCTTCTCCCAGATTCCATCCCCTTCTCCCAGATTTCATCCCCTTCTCCCAGATTCCACCCCCTTCTCCCAGACTCCATCCCCTTCTCCCTGATTCCATCCCCTTCTCCGTCATTCTATCCTATTCTCCCCGATTCCATCCCCTTCTCCCAGATTCCATCCCCTTCTCCCATACTCCATCCCCTTCTCCCAGATTCCATCCCCTTCTCCCAGATTCCATCCCCTTCTCCCAGATTCCATCCCCTTCTCCCTGATTCCATCCCCTTCTCCCAGATTCCACCCCCTTCTCCCAGATTCCATCCCCTTCTCCCAGATTCCATCCCCTTCTCCCAGATTCCATCCCCTTCTCCCAGATTCCATCCCCTTCTCCCAGATTCCATCCCCTTTTCCCAGATTCCATCCCCTTCTCCCAAATTCCATCCCCTTCTCCCAGATTCCATCCCCTTCTCCCAGATTCCATCCCCTTCTCCCAGATTCCATCCCCTTCTCCCAGATTCCATCCCCTTCTCCCAGATTCCATCCCGTTCTCCCTGATTCCATCCCCTTCTCCCAGATTCCATCCCCTTCTCCCAGATTCCACCCCCTTCTCCCAGATTCCATCCCCTTCTCCCATATTCCATCCCATTCTCCCAGATTCCATCCGCTTCTCGCAGATTCCATCCCCTTCTCCCATATTCCATCCCCTTCTCCCAGATTCCATCCCCTTCTCCCAGATTCCATCCCCTTCTCCCAGATTCCACCCCCTTCTCCCAAATTCCATCCCTTTCTCCCAGATTCCATCCCCTTCTCCCTGATTCCATCCCCTTCTCCCTGATTCCATCCCCTTCTCCCAGATTCCATCCCCTTCTCCCAAATTCCATCCCCTTCTCCCAGATTCCATCCCCTTCTCCCAGATTCCATCCCCTTCTCCCAGATTCCATCCCCTTCTCCCAGATTCCACCCCCTTCTCCCAGATTCCACCCCCTTCTCCCTGATTCCATCCCCTTCTCCCAGATTCCATCCCCTTCTCCCAGATTCCACCCCCTTCTCCCAGATTCCACCCCCTTCTCCCAGATTCCATCCCCTTCTCCCTGATTCCTTCCCCTTCTCCCAGATTCCATCCCCTTCTCCCAGATTCCATCCCCTTCTCCCATATTCCATCCCCTTCTCCCAGATTCCATCCCCTTCTCCCAGATTTCATCCCCTTCTCCCTAATTCCACCCCCTTCTCCCAGACTCCATCCCCTTCTCCCAGATTCCATCCCCTTCTCCCATATTCCATCCCCTTCTCCCATATTCCATCCCTTTCTCCCAAATTCCATCCCCTCCTTCCAGATTCCATCCCCTTCTCCCAGATTCCATCCCCTTCTCCCAGATTCCATCCCCTTCTCCCAGATTCCATCCCCTTCTCCCAGATTCCACCCCCTTCTCCCAGATTCCACCCCCTTCTCCCTGATTCCATCCCCTTCTCCCAGATTCCATCCCCTTCTCCCAGATTCCACCCCCTTCTCCCAGATTCCACCCCCTTCTCCCAGATTCCATCCCCTTCTCCCTGATTCCATCCCCTTCTCCCAGATTCCATCCCCTTCTCCCAGATTCCATCCCCTTCTCCCATATTCCATCCCCTTCTCCCAGATTCCATCCCCTTCTCCCAGATTTCATCCCCTTCTCCCTAATTCCACCCCCTTCTCCCAGACTCCATCCCCTTCTCCCAGATTCCATCCCCTTCTCCCATATTCCATCCCCTTCTCCCATATTCCATCCCTTTCTCCCAAATTCCATCCCCTCCTTCCAGATTCCATCCCCTTCTCCCAGATTCCATCCCCTTCTCCCAGATTCCATCCCCTTCTCCCAGATTCCATCCCCTTCTCACAGATTTCATCCCCTTCTCCCAGATTCCATCCCCTTCTCCCCGATTCCATCCCCTTCTCCCAGATTCCATCCCCTTCTCCCAGATTCCATCCCCTTCTCCCTCATTCCATCCCCTTCTCCCCGATTCCATCCCCTTCTCCCATATTCCATCCCCTTCTCCCATATTCCATCCCCTTCTCCCAGATTCCATCCCCTTCTCCCAGATTCCATCCCCTTCTCCCAGATTCCATCCCCTTCTCCCAGATTCCATCCCCTTCTCCCAGATTCCATCCCCTTCTCCCAGATTCCACCCCCTTCTCCCAGATTCCACCCCCTTCTCCCTGATTCCATCCCCTTCTCCCAGATTCCATCCCCTTCTCCCAGATTCCACCCCCTTCTCCCAGATTCCACCCCCTTCTCCCAGATTCCATCCCCTTCTCCCTGATTCCTTCCCCTTCTCCCAGATTCCATCCCCTTCTCCCAGATTCCATCCCCTTCTCCCATATTCCATCCCCTTCTCCCAGATTCCATCCCCTTCTCCCAGATTTCATCCCCTTCTCCCTAATTCCACCCCCTTCTCCCAGACTCCATCCCCTTCTCCCAGATTCCATCCCCTTCTCCCATATTCCATCCCCTTCTCCCATATTCCATCCCTTTCTCCCAAATTCCATCCCCTCCTTCCAGATTCCATCCCCTTCTCCCAGATTCCATCCCCTTCTCCCAGATTCCATCCCCTTCTCCCAGATTCCATCCCCTTCTCCCAGATTCCACCCCCTTCTCCCAGATTCCACCCCCTTCTCCCTGATTCCATCCCCTTCTCCCAGATTCCATCCCCTTCTCCCAGATTCCACCCCCTTCTCCCAGATTCCACCCCCTTCTCCCAGATTCCATCCCCTTCTCCCTGATTCCATCCCCTTCTCCCAGATTTCATCCCCTTCTCCCAGATTCCATCCCCTTCTCCCATATTCCATCCCCTTCTCCCAGATTCCATCCCCTTCTCCCAGATTTCATCCCCTTCTCCCTAATTCCACCCCCTTCTCCCAGACTCCATCCCCTTCTCCCAGATTCCATCCCCTTCTCCCATATTCCATCCCCTTCTCCCATATTCCATCCCTTTCTCCCAAATTCCATCCCCTCCTTCCAGATTCCATCCCCTTCTCCCAGATTCCATCCCCTTCTCCCAGATTCCATCCCCTTCTCCCAGATTCCATCCCCTTCTCACAGATTTCATCCCCTTCTCCCAGATTCCATCCCCTTCTCCCCGATTCCATCCCCTTCTCCCAGATTCCATCCCCTTCTCCCAGATTCCATCCCCTTCTCCCTCATTCCATCCCCTTCTCCCCGATTCCATCCCCTTCTCCCATATTCCATCCCCTTCTCCCATATTCCATCCCCTTCTCCCAGATTCCATCCCCTTCTCCCAGATTCCATCCCCTTCTCCCAGATTCCATCCCCTTCTCCCATATTCCATCCCCTTCTCCCAGATTCCATCCCCTTCTCCCAGATTCCATCCCCTTCTCCCAGATTCCATCCCCTTCTCCCAGATTCCATCCCCTTCTCCCATATTCCATCCCCTTCGCCCAGATTCCATCCCCTTCTCCCAGATTCCATCCCCTTCTTCCAGATTCCATCCCCTTCTCCCAGATTCCACACCCTTCTCCCAGATTCCATCCCCTTCTCCCAAATTCCATCCCCTTCTCCCTGATTCCATCCCCTTCTCCTAGATTCCATCTTCCTCATTCCATCCCCTTCTCCCAGATTCCATCCCCTTCTCCCAGATTCCATACCCTTCTCCCAGATTCCATCCCCTTCTCCCAGATCCCATCCCCTTCTCCCATATTCCATCCCCTTCTCGCAGATTCCATCCCCTTCTCCCAGATTCCATCCCCTTCTCCCAGATTCCATCCCCTTCTCCCTGATTCCATCCCCTTCTCCCAGATTCCACTCCCATCTTCCAGATTCCATCCCCTTCACCCAGATTCCATCCCCTTATCCCAGATTCCATCCCCTTCTCCCAGATTCTATCCCCTTCTCCCAAATTCCATCCCCTACTCTCAGATTCCATCCCCTTCTTCCAGATCCCATCCCCTTCTCCCAGATTCCATCCCCTTCTCCCAGATTCCATCCCCTTCTCCCAAATTACATCCCCTTCTCCCATATTACATCCCCTTCTCCCAGATTCCATCCCCTTCTCCCATATTCCATCCCCTTCTCCCAGATTCCATCCCCTTCTCCCAGATTCCATCCCCTTCTTCCTCATTCCATCCCCTTCTCCCAGATTCCATCCCCTTCTCCCAGATTCCATACCCTTCTCCCTTATTCCATCCCCTTCTCCCATATCCCATCCCCTTCTCCCATATTCCATCCCCTTCTCGCAGATTCCATCCCCTTCTCCCAGATTCCATCCCCTTCTCCCAGATTCCATCCCCTTCTCCCAGATCCCATCCCCTTCTCCCATATTCCATCCCCTTCTCCCAGACTCCATAACCTTCTCCCAGATTCCATCCTCTTCTCCCAGACTCCATACCCTTCTCCCATATTCCATCCGCTTCTCGCAGATTCCATCCCCTTCTCCCAGATTCCATCCCCTTCTCCCAGATTCCATCCCCTTCTCCCAAATTTCATCCCCTTCTACCAGATTCCATCCCCTTCTCCCAGATTCTATCCCCTTCTCCCAGATTCTATCCCCTTCTCCCATATTCCATCCCCTTCTCTCAGATTCCACCCCCTTCTCCCAGATTCCATCCCCTTCTCCCAGATTCCATCCCCTTCTCCTTGATTCCATCCCCTTCTCCCAGATTCCATCCCCTTCTCCCAGATTCTATCCCCTTCTCCCAGATCCCATCCCCTTCTCCCATATTCCATCCCCTTCTCCCAGACTCCATACCCTTCTCCCAGATTCCATCCTCTTCTCCCAGACTCCATACCCTTCTCCCATATTCCATCCGCTTCTCGCAGATTCCATCCCCTTCTCCCAGATTCCATCCCCTTCTCCCAGATTCCATCCCCTTCTCCCAAATTTCATCCCCTTCTACCAGATTCCATCCCCTTCTCCCAAATTTCATCCCCTTCTACCAGTAAAGGGAATCTAGCGGTCTCACTCGATCAGAAGGTGGGAAATATATAAATCTAGTGAGCTAATAAGGTTCGAAAGGAATCTAATGCATATGTATATAGAAAGTGGTGCATTGGCCAGGTCGGTCAGTATGGGAACTTAGAGTGCAAATGCCTGGGAGAACGGAACCGCTCAGATCTCGCATAATACACGGAATCTAGTGGTCTCACTCAAATATAAGGTAGGAAATATATTCATCCAGTGACATAAGGGTTTGAAAGGTAACTAATGCACATGTGTAGAGAAAATGGTGCATCGGCCAGTCTGGCCGGCATTTCGCACTCATAGTGCAGGTGGGGCCAGGGAGAACGGAAACGCTCGTTTCTCAAAATGGAGAGGGAATCTAACGGTCTCACTCGATCAGAAGGTGGGAAATATATAAATCTAGTCAGCTAAAATGGTTTGAAATGTATTCAACGCACATGTATAGAGAAAATGGTGCATTGGCCAGGTCGGTCAGTATCGGAACTTAAAATGCAAATGCCAGGGAGAACGGAAGCGCTCAGATCTGGCATAGTACACGGAATCAAGTGGTCTCACTCAAATAGAAAGTAGGAAATATATTCATCTAGTGAACGTAAGAGTTTGAAAGGTAACTAACGAACATGTGTAGAGAAAATTGTGCATCGGCGAGTCTGGCCGGCATTTCGCACTTATAGTGCAACTAGGGCCAAGGAGAACGGAAATGCTCATTTCTCAAAAAGTAGAGGGAATCTAGCGGTCTCACTCGATCAGAAGGTGGGAAATATATAAATCTAGTGAGCTAATAAGGTTCGAAAGGAATCTAATGCATATGTATATAGAAAATGGTGCATTGGCCAAGTCGGTCAGTATGGGAACTTAGAGTGCAAATGCCTGGGAGAACGGAAGCGATCAGATCTCGCATAGTACACGGAATCTAGTGGTCTCTGACAAAGTTTGAAGAAAGAAAGAGGGTTGAACTAGCAAGAATGAGGATACAAATAGCAAACCCTAGAAGGGTTGTACTCACTATAGAGCACCCCACTACAGGCTAGAACAATAAGATAATATTCTGACACACCCCCATAGCCAAAGTGGGGTGTAATCAGCAGAGCAGGCAAAGCAAAACAAGCTCAGGGTGGATCACAATGTCACCACACATTCTAAGCACAAGTTCAAGAAGAAATAGTTTAGAGTTCACAATTATAAGCAAAGCTAGTGGTAGTCACAACGGGCAAGTGAGGAGGAGGAGGGAGAGTGAGGGGAGAGGAGACAGGAGGCGACGGCTGAAGCTGCAGACACACGGGCAACAGGAGGCAGACTGGCACAGCGGCTACCGGACAGCGCCCGGACTACAGGAGTAACAGGCCCCGCGGCTCAAATAGCGGCGGACGGGCAACGGACCCACGGGCGGCTGGCACAGCTGGCTACGACTGGGCTACCGGGACAGCGCCCCGGACTACAGGTGCTGCGGACGACAAGCCGGCAGCCTCCGCTCAACCTCCCGCAAACAGTCCCACCCCCCTGATACACACCCACTGCTACACCGCTAGCTCTACTCCCACGCACCCCCCTGATACACACCCACTGCTACACCGCTAGCTCTACTCCCACGCACCCCCCTTAAACCCTAAACCCGAGTCTCCCACACAACCACCCCCCTCAGCGACAGCTGCAGCAGTGGGAGACGGAGGA